AGGCCGACAACAGCTGTTAAAACACCTATTTGGGTATTTATTACAACACATCGTTCCAAAATACAAAAGAAAGGAAAAGAAAGAGGGGATAGAGAAGCACTGCTGCTTACAGCCTCTGGTAATAAATAAAATAAAGACGGGGCAGAGGCAGGATGTCTCTCTGAGTCCGAGCAGGCGAAACGAGCCGTGTTCAGTCCCACCCACAGCAACAGGGGGAATGTGGTGGGATCGGCAGCCGGAGCATCTTTCCTGCTCAGGACCTGCACGGCGTCTGCAGTGGGTGCAGACCCCATCCACATGTTGTGCTCTCAGAGGAGGGGCTGGATCCTGTGGGGATGCTGGCGGGAGCTGAGCTGCAGTGCGAGGGGCCCTGCCCGCTCCCACCCCATCCAAGCACAGGTGAGGTAGGAAGGGTGATGCCAGAGTGGGACCCCGGGCTCTGCAGGGGCTCTCTGCAGCTGAGACCTGAGCTCTGGTCCTGGAGCAGCCTCGGGAATGAGTTCAGCATAGGGTGATGGGAACGAGCCCAACCCATGAGGAGGCAAAGTAGTGACGGAACAGATTGTGTCAGGACTGCGTGGGGAAGGGCATTGTTAAAATCCCCAGATCAAGATGACATTTCATGGGGCTCACAGTACAGAGAGTATTTCAAACCATGGTGCAGATGGGGCTCCTCTTTCCTCTCCCTAGTGTCTCCTCCCAGCAAAATATTCCCCTTACAGCCACCTGAAAACCTCTGGGCTGCGCAAACAGCCTAGGTGATGGGTACATGAAACAAGGTCAGAGTTCTGTCTGCTTAATGGCATTCTGCTTTATCAGCCTCAAACAGACAGAGGCACTGGCACCATGAGGACACTTACACCAAGAGAATCCAAGACACCTTTCCGGGATGGAACACCACTGGATGGGCTTGGCTGAATGGGGTGAGAAGGGGATTTGTGAACCAGAAGCAGCAGTAGAACTCAAGCCCACCTTGGTGGAGCTGCAGCCTCAAGGCACGGCCAGCAGAAGGTGAGAGGGTCATGGCCTGGAGGGAGCTGCCTCTGTGAGCAGGGTGCCTGGCCAACACTCACTGTGGCTAACACTTTAGGCTTTACGCTTTGCCATTTAATTCTCCATTCCCGGTGCTGGTGGGATCCTGCCTCTTGCAAACAGGTGGCAATATGGGGGAGAGGAGCAGCAGGAAGGAAGGGAAGAGTTAAGAGAACAGATCTGCCCCAGGTTTGGTTTCTTTATGCCCTTGGAAAGCACCACCCTCCAAACCCTGAGACAAGGGTCTGTTAGGGCTGTTTGCCTCCTCTGGCTTGGGAGCAGAGAGAAGGTGTGATGGGGCCTTGTGTTTATTCACAACAGAGAAACAAGGAGCAACATACAAAGAGTAAGAAGCAAAAAAGTACATAATCATAACCATAATAATCATAATAATAATCATAAATACTTAAATCTATCATTCATAGATTGCAATGACAACACTGATAGCTTATTATCATTAGTATTAAGGATGGTAGGGGGAACAGGACAGTGGGAGGGGGTTCTGTGGGGCACAGTCTCCTAAGGGGCAGACGAAACAGGGACAAATGTCCAAAGAAACAAACAAAGAGAAGGGCTGGGAAGGCAGCAGGGGCTGGGGATGCTGCCACAGAGGCTGGGGACGAGCCTGCTCCGACCCAAAGCCTCCGGCTTGGTGTTGCCAACCTGATCACTGCCTTCTCTCCAGGTTTGCTCAGCCCCAAAATAAGGATGGGGAGGATCCAGCTGAGGGACTCATGCCTGGAGACAGTCTGGGGGCTGGAGAGATGTTCCTTCTAGCCAGAAGGAAAGCTGTGGTTTGGTCCATCCTTCATATGGTCAAAAGCCCCAACACCACCAGCACTGCATCAGGGATGACACAGGTGTGGACACAGTGGGGTGTTGTGGACCACAGGGCATGGGGCAGCTGCAGTGCCTAACCAGCTTTGATGGTTCCTCCCTTAGAAGGAGAGACCTTTTCTCTGCACTGCTCTCACTTCTGCCAGTACAAGGAAAACCACTCTCATCAGATGAGGGTGGACACCGTTTGGGTCCCAGTGAAACTTGGATTGAGTAGTCTGGTTGCAAGAGCCCATAAACCGTCTTGGTCAGAAGATGATGAGGAGGACTGCAAGCCAACACATCCACTCTCATGAGAACTCTTTGATTCATGGACGAAGTTGTCCATCAGGCAGATTGAAAAATCACTGACATTAATTGCAAGTCTCTTGGTGACCCTCATGGCTCAGGTTTAGCACTGGCAGTTAGCCTCAGCTCAGGCAGGGCTGCTGCGATACAAGGTATTTTCTGGACATTGCCTTAAAACATTGCAAAAGGGGGTTTCTAGTGCACACACCCAACATAAAGGGGAAGGATGAACATGAAGGACTTCAGAAGAAGACTGCAGAGGTGATGAATGTCTGTTGGCAGTTATGATCTATCTATGAATCCTAAAAGGTTTCTTTTTGCTCTGGTTTCAGAGAAGAGAGGATCCCATCGTGCCTAAAGCCTTGAGTACAGCTGAGGAGCATTCCAGGGCATGGTAGAGAGATGACAAAATGCGAACCACGCATCTGCCTCTGCAGACATTCCGAGTCTTGTCTACAACAATCACCCTTTCCTTCCTGACATACTCCAGCTGCTTTTTTTGTGTGTTTGTAACACACCATGCCAGCTAATGGGATGAGTTAAGTGAGTGCTTGCTACTGCCTCACCATGCCAACCTGTCACCCTCTTTCTGTAAATTAATGCCCTGCAGGGAGGCCCTGCAGTGATTGCAACCCCTGAAGAGCTGCCTAGCTTTTGAGATGGAGGTGATGGGTAGCATCTTCCTTGTGTGGCCAGGAGTGGGAAATTTCTCAAGTTTCAATGAAAGCACAGCAAAAATCACAGCCAGAAAGATGTAAATGAGGTTGTCATTAAATGAGGTTGGCGGAGCAGGCAATAACTAAAGGGGTGTAAGTGGCTGAAAGCTGAGGAAGCAAAGGCTGAAAAGCCCTGGCACAGCTTTACTAGCATCACCACCTCTCAAACCATAGAGCTAGCTTGCAGCTGCAAGGCCAGAAGAAGGATTGCTCTTTCTACCTTCTCCAAGGTTCAGGTCAGCATGACTGAGCTGGCTTGAGGAGTTTGCTGAAGGCAATGATGGATGGTGGTGTGCTCTCAAGGGAGATTGGGGAACCAAGTGAGGGCATGTGGCATCTCCCCAGCATGGCCTCATTGTAAAACAGCAAGAATAAAGCCATGTTGAAGACAGCAATGAACCTCTAGACAGGCTTGTCTCAGCTCCAGGCACCCAGATGGAGGCAGAGGAGGTCAAGGAACAGCAGGCTGCTCCTCCTTGCTCTATCACAGCTCCTTATGCCTCTGGGCTGTGTTCACTGTTTAACCTGAGATCATTTATTTTTGTTATATGTAAGTTGATTTAGCAGTAGAAACGAACAACAAAAAGAGGTACAAAGCTAAGGAAGAAGAAAAAGGGAGTGGATCCAGAAATGGAGAACACTCAAAGGATGACACAGGACACAGGCACGCACGAACGGAGACCCCTGAGGTATTAGCTTTGCAAGCTAGCGCAAGATGAGGGGGAAAGTAAAGACAGCCACAGGGAGAGATGTGCTTTGCAGCAGAGGCAGCTGAGTGCCTACAGCTCCAGAAAGCAGCTTCTCAGTAAGCCTGAAGTTGGGCATTGGGTTGCAAGGTCTTGGCTCCCCACTGGTAAGGGCAGCCAGGAGGCAAGGAGGGGTCTGCAAACACGTTTCCCCAGAAGAACTCAGCCCAAGAGTTTTGGGATTTCGGGGGGACAGGCAAGACACCCCTTTGATGAAATCCTAACCACCATCAAACTTCCCTCCCAGTGCTGCTGTGGCATTGGATGCCTTCTCCTTCCATGCGTATCCCTGGGGATGCCCAGTGCCCTTCCCTCCAATCTCAGTGACTCATTCCTCTCTGTCTCCAGCCAGAAAGGGCAGCACGAGGGAGGGAAAGGGATGATGATGGCCAGGATGGGAATGATGGCTGTGATGGGGTAGGGGAAGAAAACAGGGACCAAGGGAGCGAAGAAGTGGCAGCAGCTTCCAGAAAGGGAGTTTTCTGGCTCAGTTTGTCTTTTAAGATTTTATGACTTCCTTGTTCACTTGTTTGTTTCTAGAAAAGGTGCTCCAAAGAGTTTTCTGTCCCCTTTTTGCTGCACTCAGAGGGAATGGGGGAAAATCTTTGTCGTCGACATGATCTATAGAAGGAGCCACAGGCCTCAGATATTGCTTAGAAACTCGTATTTCAGATTTAAATACCATACACAGTAAAAATAGAGCTGAAAGTACCGCCCCACATTGTCTGCAAATCATTGCCAGAATGAAACAGCTTCAATAAATTAAAAACAAAACAAAAAAAAAATTGAAATATTATTTACGTCTCAATAAAAATCGCAGTAAAACCATTTACCTTTTTTCCTTTGTGTGTGTGTGTTTTCTTTATATTATATATAATATATATTTATATATGTATAGGGCTGCTCTAGTGCAGCATCTTTAGGATACTCAGCCAGAGAAACACGGGGGCACATGCTTAGTGCACTGGGGTGTGGGGAGAGGGATAGCTGGGTTGCCTCTTCCCCACTTCGACAGAGTGATGCTGTGCTCTGTCCTCATGGGACCACATCCTGCCCCAGCCAAGAACAGGCTCTGCTCACCCTCCCAACCCCAAATGGTAATTCCTGCCCCTTCCCTTTCAAATTTTACACCCCAGATTCAAGTATGTGGCTCTGAGGGCTGCTCTCCCATCACTGCTCCATGTGCAAAAGCCCAGGGTGATGTCACCGCGAGCTGGAGGCTGCTAGGGTGGGAGAACCAGGGTGGGCATAGGGGGGGACACTAAGCATTCACCGTGATGTTTCCTGACTCTGGATTCATTCCTCTTTGCTTTCATTTCAATGTGCGTGCTTCTGAAAATGCGCACGCGGGTATAAATACTCCCCACCCGCCCTCCCTGCATCTCTCCCCATCTTAAATATCCCCCCACCCCTTTCTCTCTAACCACCCACGATGGGTGTCAGGACACCTCGATGATCTCCATGCTGCCCGAAAAGCTCGACTGTTTGCCTATTTTGCCCAGCTCCTCCCGGGACCTGCCCTCGGACATGGTCTCCTCGAACTCCATCTGGCAACTCCTCCTCTTGAACTGCTTCTCAGCGCCGGCTTCCTCATGCCAGCTGTGCCTCCCATCCCGCGCCTCGGCCCGCTGCTTGTCCCTCAGTCTGATTTCACAGCCCCCCGGCATCCCATTGCAACCAAACGGGGGGTACGGGCTGCTGCCGCTGAACAGAGTCCCACCGCCGGTGCCACCGCCACCGCTACTGGCTGAGTCCGTGCCGAAGTACCATCCTCCCTCAGAGGAGGGGGTGCTGGGGGAATCGAGGTGGACGCTCCCCCAGGAGCCATTGGAGGCCGGCGGTGGGCCAGGCAGGCTGAGCCTTGGCTGGAGGCTGTCGTCCGCCCCAGGGCTCTTGCGGGCAGAGCCGATGTTGAGGCTGAGGCCGTGGGCTGGTGAGCCGGCTTGGTGCCGGTGCTTGCGTCGCTGCCTCACCTTGGCTTCCAGCAGGAGGTCTGGCCCACTGGGCCAGTCGGGGCTGTCGGGCACTGGGGAGAACTGGCCGCTGGTTGCCGAGGGGCTGTCCAACTTGCAGAGCTTGGGGGCCTCCCCAGTGCTGGGAAGGCCTGGGGGGTCCTGCCGCAGGCCGGGGGAGTAGGCGGATTTGATGTCCAGGGAGAAGGAGCGTTTCAAGCGGTTGGTGTCCTGGATGCGCTCCGAGGAAAGGTGCAAGCCATTGAGTCCCTGCTGCAGTGCCGTGGGTGACAAGACCTTGGGTGGCCCACCTTGCCTTTCAGGGTCACTGGGTGGGAGTGCAGAGGTTGTGCTTCTTGGTACGTCCTCAACCTTCTCTGAGGTAGACGGTGTGGGGTGCCTGCCAGCCTCAGATGCCTCGGTTGGGTCCTGAGGAGCTTCTCCTTCACCCCGGTCGCCCTGGGCCTTCAGGGCCTTAAGGAGCTTTAAGCTCCTCTCGTATTCCAGGAGCTGGCCCAGGAAGTTGAAGTTGGGTGAGATCGATGGGCGGCGGTCCTTAACAAACCTGCCAAGAGGCACAGACAGCTCTGGTTGGTGCTTAGTCCTTCAGTAAATCACACTCTAATCTCTTGGCCTCTTTGGGAGAAGAGGCATTATCCAGAACCTTCTGAACAAAGAGGTCTGGGACCTCCTTGACTAAAGTTAGGGTTGCTCAGATTCTGGGGGTTTTGCCTGCCCACACACCATTTCACTGCTCCCATCATTGCATGCACTGTGTGAAGGAATGCTTTGGTTCGGTTTCACCAGCACTTTGCCAAGGTAAGACAGAGCTTCAAGGAGCAACCACTCTCTCCTTCTGGGCTCAGGCTGCTTTCCTTCCCTGGACTGAGGCACACCAGCACAACCCCTCCCTGTCCTCTGGGATATGCTCACCTGTAAGCATCGTCTGATGACATACCCATGGTCTTCATGATGTAGGCGATAGCGATGGTGGCTGACCGGGATATCCCTGCCAAGCAGTGCACGATCACTTGGCAACTGGACACCTTGGCCTTGTCTGGAGCACAGTAGAGAAAAACAGAGAGAAAACATCGATACGATCAGAGACACTGTGCAGAATGACTCTGGCCTCTATCCCCAACCCTCAGCTCCTGTGTGTGAAAGGAGAAGAGTTGCTGGGAATAGGCTGTGGAGGACAGAATAAGAGACCAGATTTCGAGGGCTAACTGATGGGTCTGTAATTATTGTAATGAAAGCTCACCAATAAATTCAATGGATTTATCCAACCAGGGAAGCAGCTTCTCACAGTAGTTGTCATTGACAGGAATGCGCATGAAGTGACTATCACAGATGAAGTCTGGCTTGGGACAGGAGTTGCTGGCATTGAGGACATAGCTTATCCCATTCTGCGTCATCAAGTCCTGGTGGGAGAGAAGGAATTGAAGGATCAGCTCAGTTCTGTGCTTCTCCACACACTCCTGGCTGTTAGCCATCCCAATATTTGCTCCTACGGGTCTTCCGCTGGCTCCTTGACCCAACTGGTCAACCGGCTGATGCTACCTAACTGATGCTCAGCACAAACTGGCTGAGAGAGATGTGCCCATTTAAATACTGCTGGCTTGTAATTCAGCAGATCTTTACTTTGGTACCTCAGCCTGACCAAAGAATCCTGGAAAGGCATTCCATATGGGAAAGTAAGAAAGGAAACCAATGAGAAGTCTCACTGAAATTTCAGAAAGTATCCACTGAGAGAGGAGTGGTGCCTCACCAACCAAGTTGGTTATCGGTAGCACTCCATACTAACCAATGTCCACTCTTTTTTTTTATTTTCAACCCACACTGAAAAGCACTGGGAGTTCTTACAGTCTTACTAGTTGTTCACACTTCTTCACTAAATTGTGCTGCACTTTAGCCTACAAGAGGCCCATTTCAGGCTTTAGTGACTTATAACTCAGAACATCCACTTGAGAGGAACCATCTTTTCCCTCTTTTTGACTCTGGAGTGAACCTGGGCCATTTTTCTGTGACTTTTTGCTTCAGTCACTCAGTAGCCACCATCACTGCCCATATTTGAGTCAATAAAATGACAAGATAACTAGGGTCAGGTGAAATACTGCAATAAAGGGGTGACCTATGGACTATCCCCTAGGGAACTGGCTTGCTGGGTGCATACTGCTATAGACGCACCAAGCTCCATTTTCTCCCTCCCAGGACAAATACAGCTTCATCTAATCGTGTTGCTGACACAAAATTCCTGGCTGTCCTTTCCCCTTCCCACCTGATTATGTATTGTCTGTACAACCAAGGGCATGTTGCATATAGCAACGGAGAATGCCTGTGTCAGCTGCCTGAACTGAACTATTTCAGAGAAGATCTGGAATTAAACAGGAGGAGAAAATAAATCTATGAGTAGAGGAATCCTTCCATATGTGCAGTGTGCCTCTCAATGTGTTGGAGAGGAGAAGCATTCTCTTTATGTGACCTCTGCACTTGACCCCACTCTGCTGCCTACGAATGGAGCATCTTCTGGCCACCACACTGCAGTGCTGGCAGAAAATACAGCTCCAAAAGATAAACAAAACCCTCTGAGGAGGTGGGGAGGAAAGGAAACCATAAATTTTCTTGGCTGACATTGGCCCTCAGGAGATTTTGTCTGTGGCCGTCTGGTGGCCAGTCCCTGCCCACCCCAGCTCACAGAAAGGCTGTCCCCAGCCTTGGCTCCACAGAACCCAGCCTTGGCTCCACGGAGCCAGCCAGCTTCTAAGCTCACATTCTTGGCATTTTTCTCCTTCATTTCATTCTACTCCCTATATGTTTTTTTTTTCTCCCCCATTTCTGTCTCTATCCTGCTCTGCTCTCCTGGTCCCTCTACTCACTCCTGCCCTGAGCAAGAATGTCTGCCTGGCTCCCTCTTGCCAGTGGCATTTTAGCTGCAATTCCTCTTTCTTTCTTCTTGCTGTTATTTTCCCTTTAAACAAAATTCTTTCCCTGCCATGACGTCATGCTGCTGTCCTTCCAGCACTTCAGAAGTGCAGTATCCCTCCTTTCTCCTCCCTCCCCCTAGCCAAATTTTGCCCACTTTTGAGTCTCCCGAACAAGCCCCTGGCCAAAGCTGCCCATCCCCATACTTCTACTCTCTTCATGGCTGGAGGAGTCACCACCCAGCCCTCTCCTAGACAGGACAGGGCAGACACATCTCTTCAATGAGGCTGTACCTTGTTCAGGACATCCTTCTGGGAGCCCAGGTAGAGATGCGGCAGGATGCGTGTGGGGCCAACATTGGCCACAGGCAAGCAGGGCTGGGAGATGCTCATCGGCAGGATGGCAGCTGGCTTCCCCTCACAGAGCCCCGGGAAACAGGATGAAAAGGTGGCAAAGCCTCCTGCAGAGAAAAAAAGGGGCATTGAGCTCACAGCAGCAAGTCTGGGACCAGCAGTACTTGTCACCTGGAGGGCTGGGGATGAAATGGTGATAACTGCCCATGATGAGTGCAGAGCTTTGCAGAACAAAAATCCAACAACCATTGTTAACCACTGCAGACACATTGCGATGACTGTGCCACACACACACAGAAGAGCCAGCTCTTCTTTTTCCTGCTGCAGCTGGATATTAATGCACATATGAGGTGACTTAGAATCATACAATCGTCTAGGTTTGGAAAAGACCTTCAAGACCATTAAGCCCAGCCATTAATCTGACTTACCAAGTTCCATCACTAAACTTAACACCACATCCACACATCTTTTCAGTACCTCTCAGGGATGAGAACTGCACCACTTCCCTGGGCAGCCCATTTGAATGCTGGATCACCTTCATAAAGTAATTTCTCCTAAGGTTCAATCTAAACCTCCTCTGGTACAACTTGAAATGGCCTTGCATTGCCTCCTACCTTTCACAACTTCATCCAAATGACAGGAACCTGCTTACCCTCTGGGAATAACTAGGGTCACATTTTGCTAGTAAAAAGCATGAGGGCAGGATGACTTGATTGCTGAACAAGCCCAAGCCTGGGATTTCTGACCAGAGTACCACATGGCTACCTGTAGGCCATTGCACTTGAGCTGGCTCACAGTCTGGCAGTGATATTGTGCACAGATTTCCTGCCTTTCTAATAGCCAAAGGCTGGCCCGGTTTGCACGGTGGCACTAATTAGAAAAGGAAGCCTGAAAAATTGGAGAGGGGCTGCAATGTACATTTTGCCAGAAGTGGAGAAATTTAATTTATCTTGAACAGATTTCCTCACTGTTTTTCACAGTCTGACCTGGGTGAACATGACAGCAAGCAGTGCCCAGTGTTCCACAACAAGCTACTCAGACCATCTCAGCATATCAAAGCCTACTGTTGAGAGAAAATGCCTGGCTTGGGCTGCAATAGGTAGCATCTGACAATGGTATGGTGTCTGGCACCATCAAATGCGTGGTCTAAATGGAAACAAACCTGCCCCAAAGCCAGTTTCCCACTCATGCGGCAGGAATAGAGGCTTCGGCAGGGCAGTGAGCATTGCTGTAGCAACACAAAGCACTTCTGCACATCATGCATGGTCACATAAGGGCACTGGTTATCTCGATTTGTGGAATTGTGTTCTGTAGTGTAAAAGACTGAGTGACAGTTACTGGTGTAGCTTGAAATTGGATCTGAGCTTGCAGCCTCTACCTCTACTGTTGTGTGCCGAGTCACAATACATCCAAACATTTATTTGCCAACACTGGAAGACTACGATGACTTCTCTTGCATAGAGATCCTATTCCCTAGGGTACAGTAAGATGGTGGCCCAACCTCATTCCCTTCCAGAAGAAGACACCTGAGCAGTACATTTTTGTAATAGTGGGCAACTTGGGTTATATCAGCCCAACCAACATTCCCAGAGATCTTTCCAATCATAAAAAATGAGCACATCACCCAAAGGGCAGTGAAGACTCTGGGGTTTGACTGGGACCTGTGTACTTCCTCCTTTTGAAAGTTCCTATATTGGATGCAGCACCACAGGATTCAACACTATGGCCTATCTCTGCAGTGGAATGAGTTCTTTTAATGAGCCCTCACTTAATGACTGCTCCACTCAGCCTCTTCTCTTGGAAACAGAGCAGGCTTGGCATGCTCACTATACCTTCTCTAGGGTTTTGTGGCAGTTCTGCCGATTCTTCTGAAGCAAATTCCTGGAAATCAGAGCAGGGCATGAAATCATACTCACACCATCTTCCATCACCATCTCCTTGCATCTTGTAAGTTACAGCCTCGTCCAGGGGAGCAGCTCCTGCATCAACCCCAGAAAACGTCTTCCAGCCAACCTTCCTCCTCTTTCTTACATTTCCCTGGCTGGTGGCTAACACAAGGCTCAGCTTTAAAACTTGCCTGAGTCAGGAGGCAAAGAGTTAAAGCACCTTATCATCTTCTCTAGCACTTCCTCTTCTTTGGCTCCCTCTGAAATGACATCACCTCTCAACTGGGACATTAAATCACAGCGAAAGAAGGAGGCCCAGCACAGGTGCAGTGCAGCTCTGGTTACCACTCACCCTGGTGCCGCGTCCCCATTGCCAAGGAGTGTAAATCAGCACCCTGCACACGTGTCGCTGCCCCACTCGAGCTGCAAGCACACGTGGGGAGAAGCTGGGGGAGAAAGGTTTGCATGGTGAAGAAAGCGTGCCTTCTGCAAGTGTGTAGGGTGTAATAGGACACAGATTTGACTCGTGCACAATGATGTGGGGGGTTTCCAGAGAAACTCAGTGTGTTTATGGGGAGCAGGGCACACGTACAGCACGAGAGAGCAGTGCTCCGTTCCCCAGCCTCTCACTCTTGCTCCTACCCATCAAGAGCTGCCCGAGGCTGCCTCCAGCTTCAGATCCCTCTTCAAAAGCCATGAGCATATGGTGACCTCATCGCTACAGCAGGCTGGGACACGCCGGCATTGCCTTCTCCCCCTTGGCCTCCCCTGCATGGGAAGCAGCAGTGGGGGCATAGGCCACTTGTTGGCCCCAGGCAAATCTCCTTCAGCTGTGCTTCCATCCCTCCTGTCCTTATTTCCCCCACGCTCTCCACCCCTCTCACAGCTGCTCAGGGGAAACCCTAGAGATGAGTACCCACTGCTAGTCCAACCCCACAGCAGTACTCACCCCGCCTGTGACGGCTGCTCCAGCATGCCTTACATTTTTAGAAAGCAAAGAAGCTCTTCCAAACAATCCCAAAGGCGGTGAGCGTCCCTGGCAGTGTTCCCACCAATACCTCGGCTTTCCCCTTTGCACCCCAGGCCACATACCCCAGCCTTTGTTCAAAGAGCAGTGGAGCCCGGTGATCTTCCTTCCTCTGGGTACATGGAGAATTTGGGTCAGGAAAGAGTTCTATCTGATGTATGTGGATGCTTATGGGTCTTATTGATGTTTCCCCATGGCCCGGCTTGCTGGTGAGGGGCTTTTGGCAAAGAAAGAAGCCATGAGGCAGCACCAGGGGAAAGCTGGGGGCTTTTAGAGCCCCTAAATGTTGGGGGCTCATTCAGCAATATCTCCAGAGAAATAATCCTGGGCATTATTGCTTGCAGCCCTGCTGCATGGCCCTGGAGATGGGGTAGTATCTGGTGGCCAGCAGAGGAGGGGAGAAGTCCCACATTGCTATCCCATGTCAACCTTCATCTTCACTAGGCTCTCCCTGCTGTGCATCAAAGAGTTTTCAAGTGAAGGTGGATTTGTTGGGAACAAAGAGCTCCTGTGTTGGTGCCAGGAATATGGATAATATCAGAGGGTGCGAGAGGCACCAGGGACCTCTCCATTGTCACTTTATCGTAGAATCAACAAGAGAAGACCTCTAAGATTATCCAGTCCAGCCATTCTCCTATCATCAGCATTTGGAAATGCAGCTCATGGCGTGGACAGTGGCAACACCTCATCTGTTTTCCAGCCTCGGACGTTGTCCCCACCTCTGGCAAAAACACAACAGCTTGCCCAAAAGGAGATAGGGAAGAAGTGATATGTTGCTGCACTTTGTCACCATTCTGCAGCAGCCAGCCAGAGCTGCAAGCCCCAAGACCAGGAGCAGACAGGAGAGCCACAGCAGGTGTTAAAGAGGTGCTTTACAGCCCACCTTCACTGTACCTATAGCAAACATTAAGAAGCTGCTGGGGGTTTCCGAGCAGGTGTCAGAGCTTTTGCAGCCATTCTGGCACAGCCCCAGTGCCTACCAGCTAACAGCCCAGTAAGCGTAGAGATGCTGCCACACTGTGCTGAAGACCCCTAACCCCTCCCAAACCTCCCAAGAGCAGGCTGAGAGAGGCTCTGCCCAGCTCTCATTAAGATGCCTACAGTGCTGGCAGCCGCTGCCAGGGTGGCACGTGGCAAGGGGCAGCAGGCACACGCTCCAGCATACATCTCAGCAGTGCTGGGCTGGGGTGCAGCCGAACAGCCTCCAAAATGGGATTCTGGGAGATTTTGACAAGAGCTGGGGATGTTACAAGAACCTTGCCTCAACGGCAGATTGAATGGAAAGAAGGGTGGCAGAGGGGCCGGGCACAGCGCATGTCATCCTCCAAGCTGCTGGGAAAATCCCTCCTTGTGAAGCGCCGGCTCCCTGCTGCTTGTGCTGGGTGGGAGCTGAGCCGGGTGCTGTGATGCAATGCTGCTTACTGTCACCATTACTCACTGCACGATGGGAAGCTCCCGGCTTCCTCAGAGCTTCCTGGTGCCAGTGGTTGAGTTTTCCCCCTGCTATCCCCTTGCTATTTCCCATAGCAGTGATGCCCGGTGCTCACTGGGTGAATTCCCACTGCTCTGCATCCTGGCCAGCTGCCATCTCCTGGCTGCAGCAATGGACGAGCTGCCTCTCTGCTGTACTGCCTGTCACTGCAAAGCACGCTTTCTGCACTCATCATTGCTAAGCCCAATCCTGCACAGCCTTCCTGATATACCACAGCCAGCCACGCTCATGGGTCTCTCCAGCTCCTGCTTTCACCCATCGCAGTGCAATGGAGGAGCTATCTGCTGCCCTCCCTCCATCCTGCCCAGCCCTTACGCTTTCCCCATCTCAGGCTCTGCTTTCATCCTCCCTTCATTCAGCTCCACGTTTCATCACCCCTATTGCTGACTCTTTTTATTTTCCAAGCGGGTGTGATGAGAAAGCCGATGAATCAGCCCTGTTCCTGATTCACGTGAATTCCCCATTTCCCCAAACATCACCCCCAGCAGCTTTGGGGTGACCTTGGGGATCGGTCCTGGACCCCCACCTTATTGCTCACACCGCACAAGCAGAGAACTTCCTTGAAAAAAAAAAAAAAAAAAAAAAAAAAAGGAAAAGCAGCAGAAAGGAAGCCCTCCACCCACACAAACACGGACACACTCCCAGAGCTGCTGGGCTTCATTTCCCTCCAGTGACTGTGCTGCTTTGGACCGACCTTACTCG